TAAATTACTTTAATTAGCAATTAATATTTTATCTAAGTATATTTTTGTAAAATGTAGATAAGTACTAGTAACTTAAAATCCAAATTGCTTATATTCAGATAAGTCTTAACATTATGCACTTATTAATGTCAATAGCATTCTAGTTTAACTTCACTAACCTGTATGTATTTAAAGTAAGTTGAACCTACTTTGTGGCGAAGCGAATTATAGACTGAGACGTGTGATTATATTTTATATTCTAGAATTTATTTAATTCTTTTAGATGTTACACTTAATCAAAATTCAGACTATAAAAGACTTGAGTCTGTTAGCATCTGAATCAAGTTGTGAGCTTTGGCACGTGAACTTTCTTTAAGAAGTTCCATTTCTTTTTTCACTTAACTTTTTAAGTCGAAAATATGTTATGCACCGAACCTTTTACCTGCCAGCATTATCCCTGTTATATCAGAGATAACTAACAGTGCCATAACATCCAAAATTCAGTTACGCGTCCCATAAAATGGTAGTCAAAGATCCATGACGCGACCCTCGGCAGTGGGAACTTGCGTGTAACAACAATTTGTTTGCATAAACAAGACACAATTAGTGGGTCGGGACACACCTGCGCTCGATGCCGACCGGGTATAGGCAGAAGCGATTTGATGGTGAGAAAACGTGTTCTTGACGTCATAATAATCTTAATATGTATTTGCGTTGATGCGCTGTTGGAGCTAGACATAGTCAAATCTTCAATTCGTAATAAAATTTTCTAAAAAAGTCAAATAAACACATTTATTTCATAGATGTCTCACGTTAGCTACGAGGAAAACAAAATTAGGTCGCTAATAAGCCTCATAATGCCACTTTTTCCTAGTTTTGACGTCACTGTTCTTAGCACACTGTTTACCATGAGTAAGGTAAACGAATGAAAAATTGGATTACGTGCAGTGAATGGCAGGTCCAGAAATGGTAGAAATCCCAGATANCAATTTTTTTCCCTCAAGGAAAAAGATGAATTGGTTATAATCTTACTTGCCCATAAGGATACTGTACGAGCACATCAGCATCGACCGCGACCTACAACATGCTAGCCGACTGGCCCATGAACCCTGAACGAACGTGCACCGTAGGCACTCTACACCGACGGCACATTGGACTGGACACATTGAATTGTGTACATTATGTAAATCTTGTATATAGCAATAGCATAACAGTAATAAACCAGATATCAACCGTCCGCTTTGTGTTTCATTTCTCCCACTGAGGCCAAGAAAGCCTTAGTGCAGTCCTCCTTCCTATCAAACCTTTCTTTAAATCTAATCAAAAGGTATTGTTAGGGCTCTAGGGACTATAGCTTGGTTATGAGTAAACAATACCTACTACCTATACCGCATGTAATCCTGTCTCATTATAAAATATATGGCCGCCTGAATAAACTAGAGTGAAAAAGTGTTTCCACTGTCTCAATTGCATCAAAAGCTCCAAACAAATCATTTAATTCAGTTTCAATTTTGCCGAATAGGCGTGATTGACAATATGCGTGACAGTTGTGGTGACAGTGACAACCTGCACGCGCAGTGATCGCCATCGCGGTCGCGGCAGTGTGAAACAACTTTTGCACGCGCAGTGGTCGCCATCGCCATCGCCATCGCTGCACGCGTTGGTTTGTCCGAACCTTAAGGATAGAATGACTGAGTTGACCACTAATAAGTTAAGATGGCGAGATATCGATTGAGCCTGTAACAAATCACGAGCCATGATGACGGACTCCTCTGTCAGTATTAACGACTGAGAAGAGAATAAGTAAATAGAATGGGTGTATACGGTAGTTACGTAGTTAATTTCTTTCTACGAATGAAAAAGTTACATCATTCAATTACAAACAGACACGGAGCTAGACTGTAAATCTATGCTTATGAGGTATCTTATTACCTACTGGAAAGATTTTCATAAAAACCTTACGAAATCCGCGCGGCAAAAAACAAGGGCAGAAGCACTGCTTTAATGTAAATAGAAAAGTTATTACATAACATAAGCAGTAAGTATTATCACTTACTTACACTTACAGTAAGAAAACGCCCGCAAACGCACATTATATCATGTGCGTTTGCGGGCGTTTTCGACAGAGTTCATTTTAGTCTGCAGGGTTCATTCTTGCCTAATTACCAAAATTTGAAAAGACAAAACGAGATAAGTATTTTTAACTGGGTTGAAATGTAGTCCAAACGAGGCACGAAGAAGGAATCCTCCGTCTGTATTTACGATTTAAAGTAAACGCCTGGATTGCCGCGAGTAGGCTTTGTCTGCAGCGACGCCGCGGGGCCATGTTGCAAACTTTACGGTTTTTAGAGCGACACAAACATTTACGATCGACGGACGATTCAATTGAAATACAATTTCGAAAAGAGCACTTAAGTTTAAGGGCTCGGTTTCACGGTAATTCAGTTTTACGGGATCCAGTAATGGAGGATCAGGACAAAACTGGACGGTCGTGGGAACTCACATATTATAATGTATTTAAAATTCGAATTAGGTACAAATATCGGTTTTTGCCCACTGCAAACGGGATGTTTGTGTGAACGTTAATATTAAAGCACGTATGCTACAAAACGGGATCCTGCAAAAAACGGGATGCCTATGTGGGAACAAGCCCTTAGAAATCAGTGACGGGCACACGAGCGGTGCGGTGCGGCGCCGCCAAGGCGTGCCGTCGCGTCGCGTGATACGGCGAAATCTTTGAGTTGCGCCGCAACGCATCGTGTGCTTTGAGTCTTAGGGATAATAGGGATAACAAACATCTAAGTATCACAAGCACACTAAAAACTAGGTAACTAGTTCTAGTATATTTTCATTGTGTTACGAGCCGCGGCATTGGCATACCTACCTACTACATTAATTACTTCATTCGGTTACTTAGTTGACTTTGAAAATAAAAACCTTCAGATGTTAGATACGTTGAAACGTGGGCATTTTTTGCCCGTGGCCCGAAATCTAATTACTTTAGTGTGACTAGTGAAAAAAGGTCTTTACAATTTACAAGTTAAAGATGCACGAAAGTTAACTTACCTTTAACTTAATCTCGAAGTCTTCGTTCACAGCACACTGATAAATTATAGATTTTTACACCACACAGAATATTGTAGCACTTACAAAACCACTAAAAACACTTTAAATAAAGTTTTTTGAATCGACAATAAACATTGGCAGCTGCGCGCGCGACAGCCGCCATTTGTACTAATTTTCTTTTGATGGTTTTCCGCTTTGGGTTCCAGTCTTTTTACCATTATAGCCAAAGTTATTGTAAAATGAAGTCAAAAAAATACTTTTAAAGATTATAATAAAATGGAACTGTTTTCTTAATGATTAAATTAACCTTTACTATTTTTGTATTTAATGGATGAACAATGAACAATTTTATTTTAAAGGGAAATACAAAGCTCCTCACTCCTAATGACGAAAATGTTTTGTATAGTTTGACTGTTTGGTATAATTTTAAATCAGGCGAAAGCACTTTTGACTGATTTTTTGCAGTCAAAAGCGTCTAGTACGCCTAACGCACTTCTTGGTCAAAACCACTTTTGTTTGGTTTTGACTGATTATGAGTTTTGACTGGAACATTACATTGACTGATTCAGGGTTGACTTGATTTGCATGGGTACTTGTCTTTTTAGTAGAAAACCCATTTCTTCCTGTAACTTAGGCCAGCCCCTAAAGAATTCAAAACAACTTGACAGCGGATGGACGATTTAGGCCTACAGCCTTATTTATGTCCCTTTAGATGGTTAGAGACGCGCTCAAAACGCGGTTTGTTGGATAAACAATACTAGCTTTCGCACGCGACTCCACTTGCAGTTCCGATTTCAGCATTTGGTTACAAAACTTTCGCCCGTATTCACAAACATTACTATGAGGACTCAGGGTGACACACGAACCAATCACAGAGCTCTATTCAACGCTGTGCGTGCGATTTGCTGCTCCACTTAAGCAAGGATCATTTGTGAATACGGGCCTTTGTATTAGTCTTGGTAGATTTATCGCAAAACGGTACATCATTTCTAAAACTGGAGTGTGTTAACCTAAAGTGGTGAAGTGGCGTCTAAAAGAGTGTTTTTTTATACCTCTCTTTTGACTGACTAATTAGATTTATACATGTCAGCGTGAAATTGTGAACTCTGTCAGTTTACAATATAACGCGTTAGATTGTAAACTAACAGTTGGTTAGGTTAGGTTAGATTGTAATTTAACTACGTCAGATTATAATCTGACGGAATTCACAATTTAACGGTGACATACATAAGAAAGTGACTTTTAGTTAGAATTCAATAAAACATACAAAACACAGGCAAAATATTTTTATTTTATGAATTCATAACAAAATAAACTTCATTGCATTATGCTTACAACTACTGAAAGACATGTAATAGCAATATTATACTTAAAACTACTCAATAAAAAAATAATTTATGGCAAANAAAATGTCACCAGTGACACTCGAATTAATTGACGAAAATACTTATTACAATAGAAACATTTAAATAGTTTTATCGCACAATCTGAGAGGTATATTACCGTAGCACACAGAAAACACAAAACAATACCAAAAAATTTGTTTTAAATAATATTTTCTTTTTTTGGAATGTGTCATGTCGGAGGTCGCGCGAATTCAAAATTTCAATTAATGTTTACAAAATCAAAAACCCTTTCGTGCGAGGCATAGCAATTTTTTGGATATGTGACATATTCCAACGTTTCACACACTTTTATTAATTTTCATAAATACTAATAAATGGCGCTGTAAAAAAAATATATACACAAGGTGTCACGAGTGACACCGGGGGTCTCAGGAGGTTAAGTGTCCATTAGAATGAAAGGGTGCTTAATGTATTAAAAAAAATAGAAAATAATTATGATGGGTTAATGTTTTTGGGCGGTTTTTTAGGCGGTTTCTGACAATGTCCTTTAAAACATATTTAAAAATACATTTATCTTGGCTCATTTTAAACCTTTGGTTCATAATTCACAGACATATGGATATTTACAACATAATATTAGAATAAGTAGGTGTAAAATATAACTATTTTAAGTAACAACAATTTGAAAGACAACAACATAAGCGTCAATACATGGAATGCACATAAATTATTACATTAAATAAATCATTTTCTAGGACATTTTAATATACAGGTTCTCTTCCAATGACGTCCAACCCTGAAACAAACAATAAAAATAAGTACATACAAAATATAACAGTAAAAAATTATGAATCAGTAAAATTAATCAAAAATATTCGAATGATATAATCGAAATCATACGCTACGAGTTAAAAATATTTTTTTGCAACATTGCTGTATCCTATGATGGACCTACCTGAGTTTACGAGAATGTCAAATTAATGTATGACACGTAATGTTTTTGTTTTTTGATAAAAATTTAATAGAAAAAAAAACAACCGATTTGAGAACCTCCTCTTTTTGTTGAAGTCGGTTAAAAAGTAGGATTTCTAGAAAATATGGTTTTTATGTTAATAAAGAATATTACTTAGATTTTTTATTATTATAAGATGGTTTGAAAGTGTAAATCGTTTGTATTCTGTTTAGGAACTCTCAAAGACTCAAAGATACGATACACACAGATATAGTCTGGTCTGCGAACACGTAGAATTTTGTCCAATGACCTCAAGCTACCCATCCTTATCGCTCGCGCGTAATTATGTTGCTGTCGCGCTCGCACACTCACTGCGAGCGCCCGTCGCACAGTCGCGACAGCAATATAATTACGCGCGAGCAATAAGGATGGGTAGCTTGGGGTCATTGGACAAAATTCTACGTGCTCACGGACCAGGCTTTACCTAACCCACATAGTGAATAAGTACCTACCAAGAATATGCTGGTCTATGCTGGGCCCAGTCACGCATCGGCTCCCGAAACCAGGGTGTATGTCTTCCAACAACTTCGTGAGGGGCTTCGATAGGTTCCAAATTAGGAACCGGTGGCACGTCACTTCCAAATCTAGTATCACAGATATGAGGTTCTGGAAACAAAAAAATGTACATGAGAGAATGCGTGTGTGTTCGGCGAACGTGCCCGAATGCGAGCAATGTTCGGCTAGGTGGCGAACAGTAGTAGGTAGGGGTGACGTTATAGAACTATCATGGTATGCGATTCTGAATTTTTACGACATTTAACGTAACAAAAACTCAACTAAACTAAACTATTATACCTATTCTTCGCAAATAAATACTGCGACTTTAAAGAATAGGTTTTTATCACTGGCCAACAACTCCCCCTTATCTTTAAACATTTGACATTGAAGAAATCAGCGTGCGTCAAATATCGTTGAACAACACTAAAGGTGACTAAAGTGGACATTTTCAGGAGGGCGCTACTATCTTAATACTAGGTTATTAATTCCGATTTTTTCCACTCAACGTCTCAGAATCATTGCACTATACGCATCTGTTCCAAACCAACACATGTTTAGCGCCATTTCTCAGGGTTCGTAAAGCGCCATCTATGGTTCTTCTTACTTTCTTACCGAACTAACTAGAGTAACGAACTAATTCATATAAAGAACCATAGATGGCGCTACACATTACGTCCTTGCTGCTTGCCCGACCATTTTCACATTCCCCTTCGAACCACTGTTGGCACTGTCTGTAAAACTACTGCGTGTGAAATACAAACCCTTTTACCAACAAGCGTCTCCTGACTTATTCTGCAACAGCATCATTGGGGCATTAAAAATAATAACAATGATAAATGTTTGTAAAACTTACCTCAGCCACGCCAATGTCCAAACTGTTCAAATGCTTAGCATCGAACACTATGAGCGTGGCGCGGGTTTGCGCGTGTTTCCGCAACACGTTTGGAATGTACTCTGCGCTCGCATACGACAAGTCGCCCACTGGAATCAGACAGATGCAGTCTTGGTTGCCCACCTGAAAAAATACAAAGAGGTAAACATAATAATGCGTAAACGTAAGGACTTGGTCCTGGAAAAAAGGATCTGTAAGACTTGCCCAGAAGTGGGATACGGTTAGTTTTATATCTGTCACTTAGCCAGAAGGATATCTTAGACTTGTCATGCTCACTAAAATGTCTCTGGGGTAGTGGCGTGTGAGGCGGGTCGTTACATTCCCTATAATATGGTCGAGTGAAGCGATGGCTGGTTCACACGTCATGTCTGTGAACAGGCGCTGCCTTCGGGGACTGGTCAAGGAAAGATATACCTGACATAAAATATGTATGTATCAAAACGCAACATTTAACCTAGAAATTAGCACGGCATTAAAGAAATATACTCAAAACTGCCACGCGGTCTCGTGCTGGGCGTCTTAAAGGCCACCTTCTATCAACGGGAGCGCGTGGTAAGTAACTTGCTTCTGAATGTATTGTAACTTCCTACTTTTTTATTTTTTAAACCGGCAGACAGTGGTGACTGAGTTTGTTGCGGCGCTTCTTCTCAGCACTTTTTTATCCTTATTGATCCTTATCGCTCGCGCGTAATTATATTGCTGTCGCGACTGTGCGACGCGCGCCCGCAGTGAGTGTGCGAGCGCGACAGCAACATAATTACTCGCGAGCGATAAGGATGGGTAGCTTGGGGTCATTGGACAAAATTCTACGTGCTCACGGGCCAGGCTTTAGTAACCTAAATTCAAGCTGCTTGCGTGAGAATATCTGCCTGATACTAGAACGCCCTAAGTATATACTTACCTTATGCCCGTTTTCACCATCAATCCCTAACTCTCGTATGGCAATACATAACAGGAATTTTGTTTTGCTAGGGGTAACTTAAAAATTAGGGATTGATGGTGAAAACGGGCCCGAGACCAGCAACCGCGCGATTAGCTGTGTCTGTACCAGGGCTAAATGACTTGATGATGATGATGTATGTTACCTTGAAGGTATGTGTGCTGATGGGCGGACGAGCGGCGGCGGCTAAAGCCCGCAACACGTCGACGCACGCGCCCGCTAGAATACCGTATTCTAAAGCCTGGTCCGTGAGCACCTAGAATTTTGTCCAATGACCCCAAGCTACCCATCCTTATCGCTCGCGCGTAATTATATTGCTGTCGCGACTGTGCGACGCGCGCCCGCAGTGAGTGTGCGAGCGCGACAGCAACATAATTACGCGCGAGCGATAAGGATGGGTAGCTTGGGGTCATTGGACGGGATTCTACGTGCTCACGGGCCAGGCTTTAGTAACCAGGGTGTCCACATTCTGGAAAGTCAGGGAAAGTCAGGGAAAAGTCAGGGAAGCTCATAGCAGTCAGGGAAAGTCAGTGAAATAGAGGGGTCACCTGGAAAGTCAGGGAAACATTGAGATTTTGTCTACCAAAACACTGTTTGTCTCCCGAAATTTCCCAGTGATTGTAAAATAAGGGATTTAATTAATTTATGCTCTAGAAAGACCTTTGATCTTGACTATCGAAGCAATTTTTTTTCAGGTTTGGAGTGATCTACATTATGACTTTGTTTTTAGTCATAATTATATTACTCCTTTTTAGTTTTTTATCTAATGAAGTGGATTGATCTAAATTATGACACAATTTTGTTCATAATTAGATTACTTTCATATAGTTTTTTTTTNTCTAAAAAACTTGAATACTCTAAACAGATAAAACAATCTGACAATAAATACAAAACAATGTGGAAAATTATAAATACAAAAACAGGAAAAGCTAATTTCAAAATTTATAAAAATATTAAATTAAGATTTGAAGATAAACTTACCGATTGTCCAAAAACTGTGTGTGAAATATTTAATAAAACTTTCTCTGAAATAAGTAAAAAAAATACAAAATTAAAATCCAATGTCTGCCAAGTCATAAACTCACCAGCATGTTCCATGTATCTGCAACCCGTAGATCAAAAAGAAATTAAAAAAATCATAGCGTCTCTAAAAAATAAACAAAGTAGTGGTATAGATGAGGTCCCACCAACATTAATAAAACAATGTAGCGAGGAGCTGTCTGAGCCTTTAACACACCTCATAAATCAAAGTTTCCAAGAAGGCATCTTCCCAGATTTATTAAAGATTTCATTAATTAAACCGATACATAAAAAAGACGATACTACCATAGCCAACAACTATAGACCTATAGCTCTCCTACCAAGTTTTTCCAAAATATTCGAAAAAGCTATGTGTAACCGATTGTATACGTTCTTAGAAAAAATGAATATATTAGACGAAAACCAAAACGGATTCAGAAAAACCAAATCGACAACATTAGCTGTATATAAATATATCCAAACAGCCCTCGAACATATAAACGATAAACAATACGGACTAGGACTATTACTGGACATGACAAAAGCATACGAAACTGTCGATTATAATATATTGTTAGAAAAACTCTATGGATCTGGAGTACGGGGACCAAGTCATCAATGGTTTAAATCTTACCTTCAAAACAGACAACAAATAGTACAAATAGATAGTTATGACAATAAACAACATAAAATAATAACCACTAAGTCCAGTAAAAAACATATGACCTGTTCCATACCCCAAGGCAGTGTCCTAGGATGTGTACTTTAGATAGTTGCGTCAACTTTAAAAAAACTTGCCGCAGTAGTGTTCATCCTTTTTTTTACAAAACGATGAGTCAAAGTGGTGAGAAAGTAAAAATCGTTCAAAATTTTAAGGAAATAAAATATTTTGATTAACTTTTGTGTAAAAACTGCAAGTATTCTGGAGGTTTTAAGAGTTGGGGTGAACAGCAGCACTACTTAAGTTGCCGATATAAACAGAAAATCAGGAATAATTGAAAAATTGTGGTCGTGGTAATGTAAAATATCATAAGGGGTGTCAATTTTCGTTGAATTTCATAATTTATTGTGTTAGTTAAAAAATAATTGAGATAGATTTTTTTCATTATTTTTCCTAAAGTAATCATGACTATGTCCATCCTGTGGCGTCGGCTTATCCTTGAATTTTGGGACATGTTGTATACATAGTTGGTCAGGGAATTTTGAGAAAATTGTCAGGGAAAGTCAGGGAAAAGTCAGGGAATTTTTTCGAACATTTGCAGTGGACACCCTGGTAACCTAAATTCAAGCTGCTTGCGTGAGAATATCTGCCTGATACTAAAACGCCCTAAGTATATAATTACCTTATGCTCGTTTTCACCATCAATCCCTGATTTTTAAGTGACTCGTATGGTAATACATAACAGGAATTTTGTTTTCCTAGGGGTACATAAAATTAGGAATTGATGGTGAAAACGGGCCTGAGACCAGCAACCGCGCGATTAGCTGTATCTGTACCAGGGCTTAATGACTTGATGATGATGATGTAGGTTACCTTGAAGGTGTGCGTGCTGATGGGTGGACGAGTGGAGGCGGCTAAAGCCCGCAACACGTCGACGCACGCGCCCGCTAGAATACCGTATTCTAAAGCCTGGTCCGTGAGCAAGTAGAATCCCGTCCAATGACCCCAAGCTACCCATCCTTATCGCTCGCGCGTAATTATGTTGCTGTCGCGCTCGCACACTCACTGCGGCCGCCCGTCGTCTCACAGTCGCGACAGCAATATAATTACGCGCGAGTGAGAAGAATGGGTAGCTTGGGGTCATTGGACGAAATTCTATCTGTTCGACGACCGAACTTTATTGCAACAGCAGAAACCGGGACCTCTAGATCAGAAGTCATCAATCTATGTTACCTTAAAGGTATGCGTGCTGATGGGCGGACGGGCGGCGGCGGCTAAAGCCCGCAACACATCGACGCACGCGCCCGCTAGAATACCGTATTCTAGTCCTGCGCACGCGCCGGTGGTCACTGTCACTGCGTACACCACTAGTTGCAGCTCTGAAAACAGGAAAATAAGTCATTTTTATCAACTAATAAAAACCCTTGTAATCTATATATAACTCAAAGGTGACTGACTGTCTGACTGACTGACATGGTGATCCATCAACGCACAGCCCAAACCACTGGACGGATCGGGCTGAAATTTGGCATTCAGGTAGATGTTATGATGACGTAGGCATCCGCTAAGAAAGGATTTTACGAAACTCCACCCCTAAGGGGGTAAAACGGGATCCACGCGTACGAAGTCGCGGGCGGCCGCAGTAATAAATATTTGCAAATCGTATTACTCATAAAACTTATTTATTTTTACAAGTAGATATTTAAAAGCCGCTTTTACATGTGCCAGTATTACTTTAAACCCACCACTGCTTCGAGACAATAAGTGGGCCAGTGCTGAGAAGAAGCAGCGCAAGAAACTCAGTCACTTATCAGCCTTTTGTTCAAGGGTTTAGAAAGTTTCTATAATCTATACTTCATATTATAAAGCAGAAATGTTTGTTTGCTTGAACGCGCCAATTTCAGGAACTATTGGTCCGATTTGATAAATTATTTTTGTGTCGGATGTCCCATTTATCAGGAAGGCTTTTTAGGCTATATAACATCAATCTACAGCAAATAGGTGCGGAGCAGTAAAGAAAAATGTTGCAAAAACGGAAAATATTATTCAAACTAAACTCAACATAAACCGCACCTTCCGCGACGTAAACTTTAACGATTTTCTTCTGACACAATCATGGTGCCCCAACAATATTGGTGGTATTTGAAAGCCCAATAAATATCCTTAAAGAAAAACACATTTAATTTCTTAATAAATGAATAACATATACCATAAATGTAACTTGAAAAAATACCTCACTTTGGGCCCACCTATGGGATCAATTAGACCAATTTTTATGGTTATAAAACCAAATAAAGATTTCATGTGTCCTCTTTAACAGATGGATAGCAATGAAACCCAACTAAACAGTTTTATAGCCATAAAAGTTGGCTCTAGCGTAACTACCTATTTTTTGAAGAAGTGACTCTGGATCCTTCTAAAGACACATTTTTGGGGTAAAAACCTTCCCTTTAATGAAATAAAAGTTAGAACTAGGCTTTTAAATGGTACCAATATTGGTGGGAAGTGGGGATGCATACGTTTGAAAATGCTTGTCGCGGGAGGTGCGATTTATTTGACGTAGAGTGTATTTTCACGCGTATGATGTCGCGGACACAGCTAGTATAGTTATAAATATTGGCACACTCACTGCTGTTCCTCCAAAGCTTCCTGACCACATCCAGTTCTATGAGCGAGACCATGGCCATGATGATGATTCCAGCCAATGTAGCTCGCGGGATGAAGTAGAACGCCTCCGTGAGGAGCGTCACTGATAGCAGCACCAAGCCAGCTGGAAACAAGTTTAAGGTAAAATAAACAGGTTTGTACACAAAGTTGGGGCAGAAATTTCTCAAGTTGCGACCATGGGCCGGAAGACTAAGGCTGACTTGCACCACTTTAACTGTAACTATAATCATAACGGGTGTTTTTTGTATGGAATTTGACAGACTTGAAATTTGTTATGGTTAAAATAAGAAGGCAGGGCAGAGCGCAGGACCGCTCATTGTGGAAATAATAATTGGGGGAGGCCTTTATCCAGCAGTGGACGTCATTTGGCTGAAACACAAAGACTCTTGATCTGATTCACACTCATAATCGGGAAGTCACTGTTCCGGCACAGTACCGGCATAGTGTAAGTAAAAGAATATACTTCTATTACTCTAGGATCGCATTGGAACTTGTCAATCACTGTCAGCACCGACACCGGCAATTACTGGCTAAACACTGAAGCACTGATACTGATGTGAGCGAACACGTTAACGGAGCTGTGGCTTAACTGATATATTGTGTGAATCGACCATAAGGCTCAAGGGCATTGCACATGCCTCAACATCACATGCCTAAATCCTAAAGAGGATTTAGGACGCTATTTGGATCAAATATGTAATTGCTCAATAATGAATAATAAATAAATAAAATAAATAAATAAATCTCGTTTCTACTTGAACTTAAACTTCAATCACCCACCTTTCACCAAAGATCCAGCCGGAGTCATGACTCCACTAGCGTGGTTGATAGCCGTCCTAGTGAAGGAACCAGTAGCCGGCATGCTCTGAGCGAACGAAGCTAGGTAATTTTACATACCGATGTGTACTGGAAATCTTTACTACCGCGATAGAGGTTTGTAGGCGTGGAGGCGTGTGCATTAGTAAGGTTATATCAGCGCCATCTATTGAGTGATGCCTGCCACCAGTTTGTAGTGGCGAATCGATAGATGTCGCTACAACTATCAAATCATTTTGTCTCTCCACTTCAATTAACAACACTTCTTCTCAGCACCAGCCCATATGTTGTCCGAAGTGGTGATAGGGCAAGCTATATTTGGGATGTGTATAAGCGCCCTGGAAAGGGCCTCATCATCATCATCATCATCATCACTTCAGCCATAGGACGTCCACTGCTGAACATAGGCCTCCCCCATGAACATAAGCCTCCCCCAATGCTTTCCATGTTGATCGATTGGTAGCGGCCTGCATCCAGCGCTTCCCTGCTACCTTTACGATGTCGTCGGTCCACCTTGTAGGTGGACGTCTCACGCTGCGTTTTCCGGTACGCGGCCTCCATTCCAGAACCTTTCTGCCCCATCGACCGTCAGTTCTGCGTACTATGTGCCCTGCTCATTGCCACTGGAAAGGGCCTAGTATTTAATAAAAGCCTTGACTTTGACTTTGAAACAAATTACCCACCTTTGACCAAAGAGCTAGCCGGTCATGACTCCACTAGCGTGGTTGATAGCTGTCCTTGTGAAGGAGCCGGTAGCCGGCATACTCTGAGCGAACGAAGCTAGGTAATTTTACATACCAATGTGTACTGGAAATCTTTACTACCGCGATGCAGGTTTGTGGTCACAGTGGCGTATATTACGGAAAACCTATATAGCGCCATCTGTTGAGGGATGCCTGCCACTAGTTTGTAGTAGCGAGACGATAGGTGTCGCCACAACTATCAAATCAACTCGTGGAGACACTATAGTCTGGTCCTAAAGCACGTAGAATTTTGTCCAATGACCCCAAGCTACCCATCCTTATCGCTCGCGCGTAATTATGTAGCTATCGCGCTCGCACACTCACTGCAGGCGCTCGTCCCACAGTTGCGACAGCAATATAATTACGCGCGAGCGATAAGGATGGGTAGCTTGGGGTCATTGGACAAAATTCTACGTGCTCACGGACCGGGCTTTAGATGATTTGATAGTTGATTTGAGATTACCACAAATTACCCACCTTTCACCAAAGAGCCAGCCGGAGTCATGACTCCACTAGCGTGGTTGATAGCAGTCCTTGTGAAGGAACCAGTAGCCGGCATGCTCTGAGCGAACGAAGCCAGGAGATTACACATGCCTATGGCTATCATCTCTTGGGTGGCGTCTACCGTTGTACTGCCGGCTGGAAAATTAAAATTATATCTTTCAATTTAAATCTTTTTGAACAAATTATAAAGGTGATGAAGTTAAAACGGAAAAGTAGCTTGCATGCTTATTAACAGCATGTGCATTTGTGCAAGTAACTGGCGCAATGTAAATACACTTGTATACATTTTCGTCCTAGTATGCCCGTATTTCCAAGTAAAACAATTCAAATCTGCCAGTTACTGGTGTTTATTGTCATTTATCTAATACACGTTTTATGTAGTTGCAAAAATACATTTGTCATCTCAGTTCGGTATTTATATGCGGCAGTGCCCTTACAGAATCATATTAGATGAGTTTATGTTTAATTAAAGGCAGATCAGCTACGTCAGTCATCTACGCACCAAGTGGTCATGGCGACCACTTATACAGGGTGTTTGGTAAATGGGTATATGAGCCGACACTAGCCCATGTTAACATGGGCATATAAATGGTATGGTGAAGTCAGAAATTTGATATTATCATTAAATTATTTTTAATTTTCATACAAAATATTTTTTATAAAATCCGATTTGTATGAAAATTAAAATAATTAAAATTAAGATATCAATTTTCTGACTTCACCATACCATTTATATGCCCAACATGGGCTAGTGTCGGCTCATATACCCATTTACCTAACACCCTGTAGTTTTGATGAATCATCATCATCAAGTTTATGTTGAGTACAGCATAAACTACAACATGAATCAATGAATAGAATTATAAACTTACCAAAGGCCTTAGCGATAGCGATGCTCTCCAGTATAGCGACCAGCGGCATGACCAGCCCTTCAGGCCCGAACACGCCCAGCATGCCTTCAAAGTCCACGGTCTGGTTGTGAACCGTAGTGGTAAAGGGAGGCGGCCCGAAGTGAGGTAGACCTCCGTGGATTGTGCCTGAGAATTAGCGACGTTTTTATTGCAAAATAGATCCTATTGCTGCCACATAAGATGCTAAAGCTTTTGATTTTAATGTGCCGTTTTTGGTACATTACGGACTTGCGAAGTATCTTTACATTTATGTCCTTGATTGAGCCTTTTTTTCGTCAGGAAATGCTTTACGCATAACCCCACTAGCTGATGGAAATAGCCAGTGGGTTATGTGGGACTTTCTTTGCCATATGGGAGGGAACTATCCACTTAAGCCGGGCGGTGTCCTCCGAAACCAAATGAAACGAAGACGCGAGTTATTGTCCTAACTTTGACATATGACTTGACATTCACGTTCAGAACCTGATGCAACTCAGACAATGCCGCCGTCTGAGAATCAGCGTCATATGACATCCTCATCTTTAGGTGGCAAATCGTAGATCATAGCAAATGATGGAAAGTGTAGCAAATGGTTCTTGAGACCATTTTAGAGACCTCTGATGTAGAAAAAGTGATCCATGTAACTATGTTTGAGGACCTATATTATAGGAAAAAACTTACCGATAAGTGCGAAGGGTGTGCGTCCATACAAATGCAGGACAAACGCTATGATAGCCGCTACCAGCACCACTATGGCGTTCCTGGCTTGCACCAGGTATTGCCAGGTCTTCAGTGCTTTGCGTCGGAAGGGAGAGTCAGTGTCTGACACTGGGACCGCTGACTTCTGTTAAAAGTAAAAAAATGTGTCATTTAAGCGCTGAAGACAACTGCTAATATGTTTGCTTAATCCAAAACAAAAACAGCACCTCAAAACAAAGTGACAGTCGTGTCAGATACATCCGTATTCACAAACGATGCTTGCTTAAGTGAAGCAGCGAATCGAACGCACAGCGTTGAATAGAATTAGATGGAGCTCTGTGATTGGTTCGTGTGACTGTGAGACCTAATACTTAGTAATGTGATGAATACGGGCGTTAATGCCAAAGTGCTTCCTTGTACGTTTTTATTCTTTTACTTTTTAGAGCCGAAATTTTTGGCCATTATTCTTTTTTAACTACCAATTTCGATACGCTTTTGATAATTTTCTCGTCTCGACTCCCGAATTCGGACGTTATAGATTTTCAAGAACCGAGTCTTAAATAATAACATATTTCACCACAATATCTAGTAAGTATTTTGGTGAATAACTCAAAGAGTAGGGTTAACTTACTTTAAGTATAATCAGCGCAATGATGGAAGCTATTCCCAAAATTGGGTCCCAGAGGTGGACCGTTGTTATGTTCTTGAAGAAATTCACCAGCGCGCTCACAAACGTATCGCCAGATTTGCCTGGAGAATAACAAAATGTGTAATTTTAAAAGATAATATAATGTTTAGGTCTATGTGCTTACCATGAGCTGTTAACATTAGGTGTGCGACTGCGTTAAAAAATTAAATTAAAATGTATGACAGATTGTACAGCGCAGCGCCCCTAGCGGTTACTTTCAAGAACTAAAATCTTCATAGATTTTTGACGCACTCGCTAGCGAGCACACGTAATGTAAACTCATGGTAAACACACAGAACAGTACTCGAGTAGTGATCACGGATCGGAAGACGTAGTGTAGGCAGGTCTCCTACTTGGTGGACCGACGATCTGGTGAAGATCACACAGGAACGGTCGTTCTGGAAATCCTTGGGGGAGGGAGGAGTTCGTCTTTTTCTGTTGAAGTTTTTTTTTTCCAGTTTTTTGCCTTATAAAATATATACTTATAGGAGTAGGATTTTTGTGACAGCAGCTGATTCATTTTTATGATGGCAACTACCTTAACATGCTATCTGTACCTGATATCCTAAACAAGGATTTGAGTTGTGAAGCGGCGATCTGAAGCGCGGCCGCCGTCGTGAACCCGCTTATGACCGGCTTCGATATGAAGTCGAGCAGGAAACCTGCGCAAAAACAATACTTAGTAATGACGAAATAAGAATGAAATTAGTATAATGTCGGTGTGATTTACTTCATTGACTTAGTGGAGCATTGTAATTTGGTTTATTCAAACCAACCAACCAGTTGTAACAGTTACAGCAACAAAACTTGACGGCACGTCCATATAGCCATTAAGTTGAACACTGAAGACAATTAAAGGGGTAAGTGGACAAAGGTGTTATCTGACAAAACTGACGGATCGACTTTTTTGCATGAACATAGGTTTTAAGTGATGATAAAATCGACTAATGAGCTCAAAACACGCAAATTTTGTGTGTTTCGTGTCAAAAATACAGACCTTAACAATGGTGTTATCTGACAAGCATTCATACATTTCAGGATTTCAATGTGGTATGAGCAGATTAACATTTTCAAACACTCATTTTGAACTTTTTGTTAGTTAAGACCTTTGTCCACTCAACCCTTCAATTATTAATAACCTTAGAGCCACAGCACACGATGCGTTGCGACGCGCGGTGTCGCTGCGTCGTCTTACATAGAAATATCTGAGGCGGGCACACGAGCGGTGCGGCGCCGCAACGCATCGTGTGCTTTGGCTCTAACTAAAGGTAACTCATTTGTTTCTAAGTAAAATACGCGTCAATCTTTATGTACCTACTGGGAAAGAACCATACACGAATCTTCCTTCCTTCAAATCTCATAAGTGTGTCACTAGTGTAATGGCATCACGATCTTTGACTTCTTTACAGCTAAGAACTGGCGTGACGTGCAGAATGACGTAGGAGTAATTTTGCTTAGGATAGGCAGTTTTGAACCGGTATGATTCGCTACTTCGGCATCTAAAACCGTTGGTGTGATTAAGCCATGTCAAATGCTTATTGTCGCAAGTCGATTTGTGGCATCAGCTACAAGATTTGTTCGCGGAACTGAAGAACTAACATCAGGAGCTCTGGGAGAATCTCTAACTATAACGGCTCATAAGTCTGTCACTAGGTTAGGGTCTTAACGTCAGCTGTCTACCTTACAGTAGAAGCTTTAGCAGAGAGAAGAAACATCAGCAGCTTTGATAGGAGTAGAATCTAAACTCACTATGACAGCTCCTAAGTCGACTTGTCTTCTTGGCTTGTTGACCTCAGCAGTCAAAGGTTTCAATGCTAGTGACAGACTGCTGAGGTCAGCTGTGGTAGAAATTATCGTTATTACAGTTCCGGGATTCCCACATAGTAGAAAACTGCTTCGCACTTGAAAAATCATCTCCAGGAGTCGAACCCACTCACCCAGCTGTAAAACTCCAAGTAACAGCACGCAGCAGCCCGATAGGAACGCAGCAAGGTAAGCGAAGTCCTCGGAGCGCGCCACGTACTTGGCCAGCAGCGCCGACAAGATGGCCGTCGGGCCCACCGTCACCACTTTACAGCTGCCGAACATGGCGTAGACGATGCCTGGGAATATGCTGGAGTATAGACCTACCTGTAAAATTGAGGTATACATTTAGAAACTGTTTTTGACCTTTATAAATGAGTAAATAAATATTATGGGACATTTTTACACAGCGCTATCTAGCCTTAAAGACTGTACCTAAAGTTTGAAGAGCTAGTACTATAGTGGGATAACAATACATCTTTTCAAAGTATGATTGCAACCCGGGCGAGTTAACTGCGTACCTCGCTGGAATGCGATTCTCCCTCGCACTCACCCGCACATTTTGCCGTGTTCGCCCCGATCGTACCAGAGCGTCGATGTGATGTCACGGCCACCAGTTGCGCAGTTACCTCGGCCGGGTTGTAATTTAAAATTCTTATTTACAAAAACACTTACTTGTGGCGGCACTCCAGCGACTATGGCGTAGGCTATGCCTTGAGGTATCGACGTTAGACCAACTGTAACACCTGCAAATAAATAAAGGCAGTATAAGAACAGTATTACATCTTTTCCTTTAAAAAGGTTTATTTCATTTTCATACTTTCGTCGAATGAAAGTTAATCATTTAAATGAGCTCACATTATTCAGGTCATGTCTCCACTGCAGGAGACTCTCAATTTATTTATCGAAAGCAAATGGAGGATTTGGTCTAGGTACTCTCCCCACACTGGCAGACGTGTAGGAAAAAAAAGTAATCTCGCTGCTTCCTTGAATTGTTGATTACCTTAAATTACTCACCAGCAATGATGTCTCGAATAAGATACTCCGCACAATAATTGGGCAGCCATATCGTAATGGGCAGCCTCCTCCTCCAAGAGTCCAGGCTGCATAGCTTGGAGGCCACACGATAACCATTCTCACACCGCGTTCCTGGTACCTTGAATACTAGAACTCACCAGTGTATCAGATACTCCACTTGCGTATTTGAGACTGAAGCCATATGGTCGTGATGTGCAAGAGCCTCTACCATACAAGGTGAGCTTACAAGTTACAGGTATCTGTTCTCAAACTGTGTACAAGAACTTTAGTGCCAGAACTCACCAGCGATGACATCTCGTATCAGATACTCCGCACAATAATTGGGCAGCTATATCGTGATGGGCAGCCTCCTCCTCCAAGAGTCCAGGCTGCATAGTTTGGAGGCCACACGACATCCATTCTCACACTGCGTTCCTGGTACCTTGAATACTAGAACTCACCAGTATCAGATACTCCACTTGCGTATTTGAGACTGAAGCCATATGGTCGTGATGTGCAGGAGCCTCTACCATACAGGGTGAGCTTACAAGTTACAGGTATCTGTTCTCAAACTGCCTACAAGAACTTTAGTACCAGAACTCACCGGCGATGACATCTCGTATCAGATACTCCACGCAGTAGTTGGGCAGCCATATCGTGATGGGCAGCCTCCTCCTCCAAGAGTCCAGGCTGCATAGCTTGGAGGCCACACGACGGTATCTGTTCTCGCGCTGCGTTCCTGCAAAATTATATCAATTATTGCTAATATTAACTGACGATGTTTACCAGCGAAATAAATGACGCCGCATGATAAAGAAAGCCAAACCGAGAACGGGAAAGTGTAAAGGCAAAGAAGAAGATTTTTTAACATTATGCTTGCTACGCATAATAGAATCTAGAAAATCGCAATTTGTTTGTTTCTGCCGAATACAAAGGTCTCCCCCAAAGATTTCTACAACGACCGAAAAATTCGTAAATGCGCTAACTGACACAGCTATTGCCTTTTCCGAATAAAATCATTGAAAATCTTTACTGCTCTAGACCTAAATTCTAATACATATTTACATTAGTATGTATATTTTATGTTAAATTAAATTATGCTGACGAAACAAAAGCACCTTTATTCTCCTCAGAGGCTGACATGATGTCCACAATACGGCAATACAGGCCCGAATCTAAACTATACTAATTCAAGAAATAGGAAATAAGTTAAACAAAACACCCGTATAGAAAAAACGATTGTTAACTAAGTTTAACGCATTTTGTTACTAAGTAACCCGGAATTAAAGAGTTAAAATAAAGATAAAGTTTAGGAAAAATGCAGGTGTTGAATAGCTTATCAGGTTTCCTATTCAATAAATAATTTGGACATGGTGGAACATGGTGGTGCCATGCATAGCTGGGCATTAACTCGTTAATCCGTTAATCGTTAATTAACGAAGTTAACATTTCTATTAACGGATTAACTTTTAAGTTAACTTTAAAAACTGTTAACGGACTCGTTAACTTCCGTTAAATTATCCTAAGTCCGTTAATCGTTAATCCAGTACCTACTATTTACTAAAAAGATACAGCAGACACGCTGAAAAACACTACAAAAACGCGTTCTGACAAGTACGATCGGGCTTAAAGAACTTCCAGAACCCAAAACAACAGTTTTTGTAAGTAACCAGAACGAAACGATTTAAAAAATGCTATTTTTTTATTTATTTACAAGCTTTATATTGACTTCACTATTCACTTGTTAGTATGTGTGGGACAAATCTTGCAACTTTTAAGACCAGTTCTCCACCGATTGAGCTGTTTGGCATACTTATGTAAGTACGATGAAAATGCAATGTTATGGTACCATTAAGCTGGTCTGGTGATGGAGTCAGGAGGTGGCCATAGGAACTCCTAAATGAAACGGCGGCATCGTATCGAATTTAGGTTCGTTGGATTTGTATTTTCGAGCACTTTGTACTAGATGATGTCCAGGGTCCTGATGATGGAGTCAGGAGGTGGCCATAGAACTTCCTAAACAAAACGGTAGAAACTTATCGAGTTTGGGTTATATAGGTATTTGTTGGATTTGTCTTTTCGAGCACTTTGGTGCTAAATTGTATTGTAAATGAACCAAGGCTCTGAGATTGAGATACTATAGACTAAGAGCTGGTGAACGCCAGACCTACGTCATTTTTTAAAAACTGAAAGTTTGTCAGCGTATGCTCCCAATATAGGTTAAAATGTTGGTGGATTATGAAGTTTGGGTCATCGTTGTTTTGGCAGCTATCCTAAAAAAACTGTCTGGCAAGGAGTTGGAACTGTCAAAACTGTGTGGCTGATGTCGAAACAACTTCTAATCATTGTCCAAATATAATATATATACTGCTGCGTGATTGGTGGATTTTGACATATCTGTCAATGTCATGTCAAAAATAACCAATCATGCAGCATTTGGACCTCGCGTCTACGTATTGCCATCTGGTGGATTTTTTAATCGCGAAAACCCCATTACGTTTTTCGTTTTATTATCATGTGTTAACGGATTAACGATTAACGTTAACTTGCGTTAAATCTTGCTAAATGTAACGTTTTAACGTTTAACGAAGTTAATTTTTTTTATTAACGGTTTAACGATTAACGAAGTTAACTATTTGATTAACGGTGCCCAGCTATGGTGCCATGTCAGTACAGTCGAAAGCACATCAACATACTACAAAAGCAATTTCCTCTAGGGAATTTGTATGTTGCAGTGGTGTCTGTTGAACATAGGTACATATTTTTGTCAAATGGAAATAAAAAACAAAAAAAACAACTAATAAACAGGTTTCTTATACCAGTACCAGGAGTTTACCAACGCGGATTCTCATCGTATCGTCAGTAAACTTAGCGTTCGCGAAACGAGAAAAAATATATTTATAATGAAAAATACAGAAAACGTTTGATATTCGTAGTTATTTAAATGTATTAAGAGTACCTGTGTTTAAGGAAACCCGACTTAAATAAAATACCCAACAAGAAAAAAAGTGGAAAATTCATCTCAAAGGCACTCTTAACATAATTTATTTTTTTACCTCAATCACATTCAGAAGTTTCCTGTTAGTAGGTAGGTAATATCAGATCAAAACATAAGAAAATTTAAAGAATCAAGGAAAAGTTTGGAAAAACTCACGAATCGTTAATGAACCTTACTGGTTTAATAAATAATATTTACTTAAGTTTTTTTTTCTTTTGGCAGTTATTTTGGGCTACCGGATACTGTCTTCATATTTCATTTTGTTATTCAATCCTTTAACTATGAAAACGATACTTTAGCATGTCAACAGAAAATAATGCATAGTGTGGCGTATTTATTCAAGAATGTGCATTGTTTGCCAACGTATAGTAAGCCTTAAGTACAACACAAATGTGAATCTTTGCTAAACTAACTTCTGCCAGCGACTTTACGCGAATAAAGTTCGCTTTTAGGTTTACACTTCCATTTCTTTTTTGTGTTTACACTATGTGAACATGTTAACTATTTTGTAACACAATTTTTTTACAAAATCAAACATTTATTTTTATTTCATTTGTAGAAATTATTGTCTACGTACTTTCATCCATCTTCTGTAGTTTTCTTCTTTCCTATCTCACTATATTTGCGACAAAAAGTATAAATAGCCTACTTACATGTAGTCTACATTTATACACGTGTCAATCTATTCTTATTAATACAAAAGATCTCACAGTTTTAACCACGGTTTACGCATGAAACCGTTCCAAACAATCGAAAGAACCGTTCCAAACAAATATCAAAGAGATAATATTAGAACATTAGTTTAAGACACCATAACATATCAAATTACCTATTGTTTTTGCACAAAGACAGACATGTTTCCTTATAATATTATCTGAATGTACAAACTGAAAAAATCTAATACGCACTTATTAATGGCCATATAAGTTGATAGAAGATTTTGATTTAAATTCGCCAATATTCAGAAATATACAGGGTGGAAACGATAAGTGACTTCACTAGATTATTTCTAAACTATGCAAGATATATCGAAAAACTGTGGCTGTACTAAATGTATGGAAGCAGGACACATTTAATTTTTAGATAGATCCAGATTATTCTGTAAGTGTAACCCATTATTCCTAGAAACCATCTGTATCAGTAATCAGTTTTTCGATATCTTGTATAGTTTAGAAATAATCGAGTGAGATCGTTTATCGTCCATCCTGTATAGCAAATATTTTCGAAAAACCAGTATTAAATATAAACATAATAAAATACCCAAAACGTTCTCGTGGTCGTTGTAAATAGTCCCGCTCATTTTGAATCACCAAAACTGTTAGTTCACTACAAAATTGTCACTACATCGCAAACACTAACACAGTACGCAGTAAAAACTTAATTAGGTCTATTTAAAATATGGTGCCTAAACTAGAATTACAAGGAAACGCGTACGTATAGCGGTAAGGACGGAGTAACACTGATGGGCTAAGTTAATTCTTATGCTGACGTTACAATTAAGGCTTGCACACAGTCACAGATATAAAATATAGCTGACTAAGGCCTGACCAGGAACATAAAAACCCTGGCATAGAGGCGCTTCAATTGCATTTGATAGTGCAACACTGAGTACAGTCGTACATGTGTTAAATTAATAGGCTAAATTTATGTATCAGGATTCAGGATTACGGGCTAATTTGATATTTTCATAAATTAACGAAAAATATTATTTAAGGTAACNTCAGGCTATACAAAAATTATTTGTTGTTATCCATTACAGACGATCTCATAAAGGTAGCAGGAAGGCGGCGCTGGATGCAGGCCGCTACCAACCGGTCATTATGAAAATCATTGGGGGAGGCCCATGCCCATGTTCAGCAGTGGACGCGTCCTATGGCTGAAATGATGATGATGATGATGATGATGATGATGATGATGATGATATTCTGACGCTTAAATGTTGGTTGTTGGGATCCACTGACGCCTAGTGGTTTGTGTAGTAGACTAGTATGCTAGAGATCACGGGTTTAATCTCATTATAATAACAATACAAACATTTGAAAACACTTCTACAATAAGTTTATATCCCTTGGATATTTTACACTCCTTCATCTAATCTCAAGCTAAACGTAGTGATTGACTATACATAAAGCAAATACTAGTAACAAGTTCTTAAAGAGTACTTACTCTTTAACCATAGTGTGTCAAAAGTTCATAACCAAAAATTATTTATTTTTATTTAAAATCTTTATTGCACAAAAAATTGCGGTACAAAAGGCAAACTTAATGGTTTAGCCGCGTATCGCCAAGTATCGCATAGCATACAGTGTGCCACTGCCCCTTTATGTTAATTACAACTGGCATTACAACTGGATGAGCTATCTACAATTTAACCAGCGATTAGTCGCAGGCGCAGCGAAGGTGTGATAACGCTTAACTGTATCTTTAATGTGCTCAAACAACCTAGTGTTAACCTGGTGGTGGCTTGTTTTAAGTAGCTGAATCTGTTTTTTTTATTTCCGTATTAAAACGATCAAGGGTTTATACAGGGTGTTTGGCGCATCGTGTGCCAAAATGATTTGGCGGATAGAATGGGTCATTTCCTATATTTTCAGCCCCCATAACACGTTCCATGTCAGGCGGCTACTTTTATATTAAGTTTTTTAGTAATTTCACCAAAATACCCAAATCGCATCATTTAATTTCGATTTAAAAAAAAACTACTAAGGGTAGCCTCAAAGTAAATATTTTGTTTTGACGTGCATTGATATAGGGTTGCATCAAATCTAAATTTACTGGCAAATATCATCTAGTTTTTTTTTAATTCAGCTTTGAACTTTTCCGAAAAGTTAAAAATGGACAGAACATTTAAGTTTACATGGCTATAAATTTTTTTTTAAAAGAGATAGCGATCTTCGGATTTTATCAAAACTTCTCTAGTCTATCCCCATTCAAACGGTATACTAATCTTGTTTAAATAATAACAACAACTTCACAAATTCCCTAAATTAGTGCATTGACTCTATTCGGACTGATTTGCGAAATTTGTGTTTATAGCCCCTTTTTGTGTGAATAACACGTTAAATACCTACAGGTAAAAAATATTTATCTTTTGCAATGTAAAAAACCTTTTCCCTATCGTTTTTCAATGTGGATTTCTTGAAATTAAAGACGAAAATAATTATTTTGATCGTTTATTAATTATTACAAATTTTGTTCAAAATGTCCGCCTCGGCAACGTATACACTAAGTAACGACATCTTCTTCTAATTTAGACTGGCCCTATACAGTGGCCTGCACGTTCCCCAGACCTAACTCCGTTAGATTTTTACGTCTGGGGACGAGGTAATGAACTGGTGTACGTAACGGAAGTTCAAACATTAGAAGAACTACAACAACGAATAGAAAACGCCTTTATAGTAATAAAAAGAGAAATGAGGCTGCATACGACAACAGTCGAAGATGTCGTGAGTGTATACGTTGCCGAGGCGGACATTTTGAACAAAATTTGTAATAATTAATAAACGATCAAAATAATTATTTTCGTCTTTAATTTCAAGACATCCACGTTGAAAAACGATAGAGAAAAGGTTTTTTACATTGCATAAGATAAATATTTTTTACCTGTAGGTATTTAACGTGTTATTCACACAAAAAGGGGCTATAATCACAAATTTCGCAAATCAGTCCGAATAGAGTCAATGCACTAATTTAGGGAATTTCTGAAGTTGTTGTTATTATTTAAACAAGATTAGTATACCGTTTGAATGGGGATAGACTAGAGAAGTTTTGATAAAGTCCGAAGATCGCTATCTCTTTTAAAAAAAAATTTATAGCCATGTAAACTTAAATGTTCAGTCCATTTTTAACTTTTCGGAAAAGTTCAAAGCTGAATAAAAAAAAAACTAGATGATATTTGCCAGTAAATTTAGATTTGATGCAACCCTATATCAATGCACGTCAAAACAAAATATTTACTTTGAGGCTACGCTTAGTAGTTTTTTTTTAAATCGAAATTAAATGATGCTATTTGGGTATTTTGGTGAAATTACTAAAAACCTTAATATAAAAGTAGCCGCCTGACATGGAACGTGTTATGGGGGCTGAAAATATAGGAAATGACCCATTCTATCCGCCAAATCATTTTGGCACACGATGCGCCAAACACCCTGTATATCCGGAATTTTAGATTCATCATAATAAATTCAGAAAATGGAATCCACTGCTGGACGTAAATCACTTTTTTGGGTTCCGTATTCCTGCCATGGAACCCTTATTTCATCCAACCACCCGCTAGCTATCCTCTTAAGGTCGTCGGTTTGCATAGATGTGATCCCCATTCGAGAAAAATACATCGATAATATGGGATAGTCGTTTAACTAAGGTGCAACCGTTTAACTTGAAAGGTTTTTGCTAACCTTTCTCTGAATACCTTTGCATTAGGGATAGGTTATAGCTAAGTCAACCAGGCCTGTTCAATTTAACAACATCTTTAGTATTGGAGACAGTTCCTTATGCAAACGAGTACCTAATATAAAAAATATAAATCTTTTAAAGCAATTTTTCTAAACTCGCATTAAACTTAATCCTTGCCTACATTATTAAGTTCATCTCACCTTATCTTTTTATTTTATTTGTCTAAGGGGGCATTACACGCACATTTTAATTAACCTTCGTCTGGATATTATTGTTTACTCAGACGACATCATGACTAGGATGCCCGATTAAAAAAGATAACAAATCCTTAGCAAACCATTAAATCCAAGTAACAAAATTATTTTAAAATAGACGTAGTTTAACTATTTACAACTGAGTTAATCAGAGCCCCGACTACGGTAACTTTTAACGTCAACAATCCAGACACGCTTCTCGATTCTGCGATACGATTGGTCGTTCAACAGCGTACGTCAGCTGTTTTGACCAATCGTATCGCAGAATCGAGAAGCGTGTCTGGATTGTAGACGTTAAAAGTTACCGTAATCGGGGCTCAGTCCATATCAGTGGGTCTAGACCAGTGGTTCTTAACCGGTGGTCCGCGGAAAAAAAAAAGTGGTCCCTGACAAGACCGAAATTTGGTAAAATGGTCCCTCGTGACTTAAAGGTTAAGAACCACTGGTCTAGACAAAGTGCACATTATAATCGCAAACCAGTCGAAAAATAGTCGAAAGGCCTTTTTTGTATGGAGTTATGACTGCTTCGATTTTCGATTCGATCAAAAAATGAAACTTGTCTAGGGGGGCAGAGCGTCAATGTTACGTCACGGATGCCAGGTGCGCATTTAACTCGATGGTTGTAAATTGATTTAGCAGAATAAGTACTGTTTAAATTGACTTCTAGACTGTAAAGTGAGGGAATAATCTCATGTGAACACAACAATCTTGCATCTGAATAAGTCAAAATTCTTCCTCTTACTGCCTCATTTCAAAAATACACCCTGGCTTTGGGCAAAGCATTGGCAAATAATCATATTTTTCCTTGGACGAATAAACCACTGGACGCGTAACGAGTGACGTTTTCGTCTTTACCCCGCTAGCACTTACCAAGGCTAAATTAGCCATGGTAAATGTTGTCAGGTTGTCACTTTGTCAGTATGACGCGAGCTCTCGAAGAGTAAAAATATCACGAAAAATGGGTAAATGCGCCGTACTTTATTGCAAAAATTATTCCGGTCACACAAGAAATGTTTCTTATCACGCGTAAGTACATTTTAAATCTCTTATAGTAGCTATTTTTTCGTAAAATAAATAAAATTTGATATGTAAACAAAATATGATTACGTCATTTTAAAAAGTACTCATTGTACATGTAAATGCTTAAAACATGTAGCATATTTAATCTGGTTGGATTATAGGTTTCATTCTTCATTCACATCTCATTTTTTATGACGTAAAGGGCTTGAAAAATGTCGATAAGTTTATCGATATACCAAACAAACTGAAACTGAAATTATTCAAATTAATTTTAGATTTCCAGTGGATCCAAATAGAAGGAGAAAGTGGATAGAGGAATGACCTAAACATAAGAATATCAACAACATTAGATAAGAATTAAATATTCTCAGATAGTGCATCCGTACTGCAAGCGCTACAAAGCAATACATTGTCATAATGTTATCAAATTGTGTTTCATGAAATGTATAGAAATAGGCTATTGATGAAACTTTTGTCCGTGACGTGAGACAGATTATAACATTTGTTGAGACCAAAAGCTAGTTAGCAGTCGATCGTAACAGAATATTACTTGTTTATTGCTTTACGAATTTGATAATGATAACACAGCAAAAAAATATTTCACCTAGTTACCTACCTATATGAATAATTTGTAATATTATTTGTACCTATGATTTACCAATGGCACTATAATAAACACGATACAATAATTAATTATAGTCTTTCAATTAAAGAAACTTTCAATATTAAATCAATCACGATAGCCGAACGGTGAAGGGGTCGGTGTGGCCGACTCGAGATACGAGGAACGCGGGTTCGAATCCCACCGCCGCTCGACTATTGTGGTGAGCCCACTCGTAACACAAGCTTATTTAGCTTACCATGAGGGGCTAATGGGACTATTAGTAATTTGGGCAATACAAATTGGTAATAATCTTTTCTTTAAAAAAAAAAAAAAAAAAAAATCCATAATTCATTTATCTCGTTAGGTTCATTCATTCATTCATTTACATAACTATCGATAAAAATTTACGATCTTTTCCCAGCACTAAACGTCATTATTTGACAATTGTCAAACCTCTCCCCCCGCAAAAAGTGGTTGATCTTGTTTCCTTAGAAATCTTGTAGGTTTCGTCATGGACCTTTTTTCGTGTCCAGTGGTTTATTCGTCCAAGTATTTTTCTAATAAAATTATAAGATTTTAGATTATATTTAGTTGTTTTACAGCCATATTATTTAATTAGAATGAGTTATGACCCCATGAACATATGATATCTATAAAATTGAGTAATAGTAACAGATTACTGTTACTAAATAATAATCACACCAAGTAATATTAATGGCAGAACATTCCAACCATGTGACTGGGCAATAACTTGATCACATGACGCTTATCAATGCATAATGTTAAAATAAATAACTACTAATTTAATTAAAATAAAACTGTTACTGCATCACGACAAATTAATGATCAGCTGTTTAAAACTACAATTTTAAACAAATATACATTTTTATGAAATCAAATAAAAATCGTTTATTCGCAAGTAGGCTCCCAAAAAACCCTTTTACACATTACAACCCTACCAATGCTTCGGGACAGTAATATGGGCCAGTGCTGAGAAGAAACAGCACAAGAAGCTCGGTCAGTTTATAAATAAACTACATCAAAACTGTATTTTCCCTTTTGTTCTCATTTACATATGTAACTAGAAACATCCTAATTAATTTAAAAAAGTAAACCACCCATGACATCAGCCAGTATGGTTCTGGCTACTTAAATGGCTCTCCTGTAAAATCTATTTTTTTTACTTACGCCAGTATACGTAGGAGCCATCGACATGTGTTAAAAATTAGTTAAAAATTTCATCTAGCGACTGCTAAGTCATGTTGCTATAATAATATACATAACATTGTAATTGTTTAGTTAAAATATTTGATCCAGTATCAAGACCAATAATTTATTGCTAATGAAAAAGTAATTATAGTTATTTATAAAACTTTTATGTGCCAACTTTTTTTGGCAAATGTTTATAAATTGGGAATCTGTCAGTGATAGTGATAGTGATTTCTATGATTGTGATTAATACCAAACATGTGAAATGTTGTTTCTTAAGTTGTGAATTAAATAAATTAAATTCAGATAAAATAATACAGAAGAAAAACTGGCTGACATTAGTTGGTTCAATAAAGGGGTGTTTTTGTGAATTTATTAAAATAAAATCTTCTGAAATCTCATGTAAGTTATCAATTTAACACATAATTGGTCTTACTTTTTGGATAGGTAAAGAATTAAGTTAAATAGATGTTTTGTTTACTTATTACACATTTTAATACCTATGTGATGAAATAATAAAAAATTACTAATAAATGCTTTATGTTAATTGAAATTCATAACAAACAAATAGTACAGATTGAATGCAGAAATATGTAAATAACAAATCACTTTATGAATAACTATTTTACATTTTTACTAAAAGGCCAAAAAAAACAGTTGATGGGTTTATTTTAGCAAACCTGTAACCAATGGCAAAATTGAATACAGAAAACTTTAGCGTAGAAATCTTTTATCTTAAAGTTTAAAACAGCAATAAAAATTATGTTAATGCTTAAGTAAATGCAGATTAGGTAAGCTGGTATTCTAGTCGTATGAAACGAATTACATACAATAGCAATACAGTACTTAACTGTTGACGCGTTACATTCTAAACCCATTTTGTTAATTACAAATATGTAATCAAATTAATATAATACGCACGTAGAAAAGTTTAATTAATTCAAACATACCCAAAAGCGGTCGTCTTGGATCATTTTCTTCCATTTTAAGCTATCTGGTTGTGTCGCGTGAACCAAAACACCAATTGTTTGCCATTTGAATCAATCTTTATCTATTCAAACCATTTTATGATAACTTTGTAAAGTTTATTTACATCCAAAACAAAATCTGCAATATTTTGACTATCGTCAATGACAAGTATGACAATTGACAACAAGACACAGTGACAGTGACATTCGAATTTCTGTCAATAATTTTAACGGTAGGCAAGGGAATCAGAAGTTATAAACTTAAGGAAAAATATTAGAAATTGCTTATTACACATAAAAAAAAGGAAAAGTTAGGTAGATAAAGAAAATCCTATCAAGAAATCGTGTTATGGTACTTGTAAGTTCTCATGTTAGTCAAACCAATCGTTTGGTTGAGCTACGTCTGATTTTCTAGAAAATGCTTATAAACAGATTGTCATGATAAAATGAAATAATTACCGCAAATTAAAATGTACGACTACGAATAGTATTAAATAAATAATGTTTTTATAATGTAGAACAATAAGTCCTTTAATCCATCTACAAAAACCTTTATTTTATTTTTTTAGCATAGGCATAGACAAAATTTTTTTTTTGGAGTTATTGGTGGGTCCTGCCAGGCGGGAAAGTTAGCGTCATGCATGCTGCACTTTTGTTTTAGTCATATTTTCTAAAATTTATGTCTAACCGAATTATTTATGGTGGATTATTTGCTAATAAGTGTTAATGAATGTACAATGAGTGTAGACAAATGAAAAATAACGGCTTATCTTCTATGATCTCAAGTTGTGTGACTTCTCGTGAAAATCTAGGGAGGTAAGTCAGTTTGCAAAATGTTAAACAATTTATTTACATTACTCGAATTTACAAATCATTTGAAATAGGTGTGTTTGAGTTGAAAGTTTGAAACTGGCTTTACGTAGAATACGTACGTCGCGTTGGTAGCCATAACGTATTTGAAAAAAAAGTGAACCTACCCTATTATATAATATTATAATGTATGTTGTTTCATGAAGTGAGCGTCACGACGACAGCATTTTTGTTACACAAATGGGGGCTTCGGACCGAAACTAGGGCGAAAGTCGCTATGATAACCCTTAGGCGCAGGGTTGTCTATCATTGGTGTTAGAAAATGCATTCTAAGTTAACAGCTACCTAATGTATGAAGACATAGTTCACAGGGTAGCAAAAAACATCATTTTTAGAACACTTTGTTTGTTTCTTCTTTTCTGTTTTATCAATATTACAAATAGCCGAAAATACTGTAGTAGTACTATAGTAGTATTATATTTTTATCTCTGGCCGAATCTAGGATGAGGTGATACGACCGTACTTACCTACACAGTCAGACATAAGCACAATCATGATCTCTCACGTTTTAGATGTTGGCACTCATAACAGCTCTTCATCTGGTTTTTTTTAATCTAATTTAAATTTTCATTAAAGTTCCATCCCAAATGACATCCTTAACTTCTGTTCACTGGTAACAGCCGGCTTTAGGCAGCAACTGACCATTGTAATGGCCTTTTGACTTTCTACAAGATAACTAATCTTTGTAGATTTCTTAGCACGCGCCTGACACGTACTTGCGGCAATTTGCTAGGGAATTAAATAAGTAGGCGCTGTGAGGCGCTGTTACACACGTGATGCGTTCACGCCTTTGAATTTATTTTTGGTTAAAACAAAGTTTCATCATGCTTTCTTCGGTTATTGGTAGTTTGGTGACCTCCGCCTAAAATGTTTATTATCACGTGTACCTTAATGGGTCATTCCATCGTTTCGGGTGTTACGTTCGTACACACATATTCAACAATTTCATGTATTTTAAAATAGTATTTTAATAATGTTAGTGCCATAATCTGTCCGTTTTTAGTTGTTTCATCTAAATAATAAAGTTTGTACAGCTTAGAATGTAGGATAACGAAAATATGAGTCGAAAAATGTGCGTTTCGGGCGTTACGAGATTTTGCCTCTATGTTCTGACTGTTGCTGCATTTACTCGAAATTTAGCGAATTTTCTTAAGGAATCATACCTAAAACTTACAGGACTTCTAAAGTATGAAATTTACAAACCATGTAACATACAATCACTGTCAAATAAAACGTTTTACTATTTTTTTATAAATTTTTTCTTTGTTTCGGGTGTTACAATGGTTTTGTTTCGGGTGTTACGAGTACGAAAATTCAACGCGTTTTATCGATAAAATCGTTGTTTTATTAGTCTCTAGGTACTACAAAATAAGGAGTACAACAAATAAACACAAATAGAGCGAATTCTGGTTTAAAATTACGAAGCAGCTTTTTTTTTTAAATATACAAAGTTCAAGTTTAATTTTTCCTCAGAATATAGCGTTTTCTATTGTTTTTAGCTTGAAATAGCATTACTTTAATTTCTAATTACGATATTTATTGGAAATGTCAAACATCGACACTTTTTGGCAATACCTTAATTTTAGTGTTAAGTCAACATTTCAAAAAAGTCTTAAATTGAGAAATATGACTCCTTTTCCGATGCCAGCGCTAGTGGGAGGTCAAAGGACCCTCACAGTAATACTTTTTCACTTCTCCAAGCAATATACACACATTATCGACATATAAAAAAAATGTAATACTCGAAACGTTTCGGGTGTTACAGTTTTTAATCAAGAAAGAAACATACTAAATTAGTTTCATGCTCAGATATTAGTTAGTATTTGAAATCATTACTAACATGACCTTACTTTTACCAAATATTTTTACCCTAATCCATGTGTAAGGTACAATAATAAAACAAATACCTGTTTTTCTGTTTCGGGTGTTACATCGCCGAAGTAACAAGAAAACACACTTAAAACTTGATGATTATCAATTTTTTTGGGACTATGACGCTATCTACCAATACTATGATAAATACCCTCGAATTATATAGTGGCAAAACGTTTCACAGATTGATAGTTTTTTTTAAATCGTATTACCAATAATTAGAGAGAAAATGATCATTCAGACAGTTTACTTAAGTATAAACTTTGAAGACTAATAACTTAAAAATTACTTGTTTCTTTCAGTTTTTTTTTGTTGCACATTATAATTTGGAATGTTTACTTTCAAAATTCATTAGATTTTATGCGAAAAGAACATATTTAGTTTTTCACCCTCGGTAACATTTGTCATGGAATGACCCTTATAATAACAGAAAAAATAAAATGCCGTGAAAATCCGGTTGTGATAAAAAAAACGTTTAATAGCTACAATACAAACTCATTACTTTGCTAGATTAGTTTTTATTAGATTCTGTGTACCTACGTAGGAGTGGCAGGGTAAGATTCATTAGAGAAGGTAGTCTCATTAATGGATAGGTACCCGTATTAATGTCCGGCGGACTTACAGCTGAGAGATTTGATAAATTGTGAACTCTTAACTTATGGTAATATTTATCCCATCAAAAACAATACTTGTCAAAAAAACCAAGTCTCGCAACTCAGTTGTTCTACGGTAAAAAGTTGTGAGATCCATGTAATACCAAGTCCAGGCCAGGAAATCTTTAACGTTTTACATAAATTATTGACTTGGCCATCGCACTAAATAATTTAATTTACACGTGTTTTCATGCGATGGCCAAGTCAATATTTTTATGTAAAACGTTAAAGATTTCCTGGCCTGGACTTGGTATTACATGGATCTCACAACTTTTTACCGTAGAACAACTGAGTTGCGAGACTTGGTTTTTTTGACAAGTATTGTTTTTGATGGGATCTCATTTCTTTTTGTATTTTGTAGACAGCAGTTATGTATCTAGAAAACTGGACCGAAATTGAAAAATTTTACTCGACTTGGCGGTTGCACTACCGTGCCCCCAAATATTTTAGTTTTTCCTTGATTCATACACCAAACACTACTTATATTCCAAATTTGAAGCTTCTAGGTCTGCTAGAAGTGCCTTAGAGTTTTGATGATCGGTGAGTCAGTGAGTGAGTCAGTGAGTGAGTGAGTCAGTCAGTGAGTGACAAAATTAAGTAACTTTGACCCGTTATAATTCTTAAACTACTGGTTCAAATTGAATGAAATTTTAAATATACCGTGTCTTTACAATTCCTGCATAGCTAATGAAAATTCAGCCTTCTAGTTTTATCCACAACGAAGTTACAGGCGGTCGAAAATGGCCTGAATTGCTTCGAGAAAAGGATGGTACGGCCGTGCCGCTTTTTTGCTCGACTTGGTGGGGGCACTGCCGTGCCCCCAGATTTTTGAAATGATGCAATACATAGAGGATTTACAATTATGGCGGTTTATTTTTATTTATCCACATTTTAAGGTGTGCACTTACGGAACTACCTTATCTTTTCTGCTTTTATCGACAAAAAACTTTAGCAATTCTATACTGTCCCAATTTCACCTGCGAATCTAACGCAAGACGAGCGTCTATGTTGCATCAGTCTGTTTAAACATAAACAGATAGCCGTATGTCCGGAAATATCTACATAAATAAATAAATATCTTCGGAAAATTTCACACAGCGCCATCTAGCCCCAAAGTAAATAATTATTAAGCTTGTGTTGTGGCTAGCTTAACGGATAATTAAACTACTTACTTAAACATACTTTTTTTTAATACTATTAAACATAGTAACACCCAGACCCGTCACAGAAATTAAAATTCATCATTTCAATTTCTGCCCGGGTATCGAACCCGGGACCTCTCGGCATAGTAGTCCGTTCTGAACCACTACACCAAACGGCCGACCAAAAACTTTAGCATTCCATACTGTCCCAATTTCACCTGCGAATCTAATGCAAGACGAACGTCTGTGTTGCGTCAGTCTGTTTGCAAACAGATACTTAGTATGTCCGGAAATATCCGCATTATGGTGGACTCCCGTGACATGACCTAATTCTAATTATATTAGTCTGAATATACAGGGTTAGGTAGCTATTTATGTACTAACTAGCTTTTGCCCGCGGCTTCACCCGCGCGAAATCCGTTTATCACAGATCGTCATAAATTATAGCCTATATGTTACTCTGGGTTATAAACAATAATACTGTGAAGTTTCATCAAAATCGGTTCAGTAGTTTTTGCGTGAAAGAGTAACGTAGAGAAGTAGAATGTCAGCCCATTGTTGGACATCTCAGTGTAGAATTAAAAAAGTAGTGATTGAAAGGTCCTTCACGGACCTTGGGCCTATAGCAACGTGGGCCAGATGGAAATAATAGTAGGGAATTTAGTGCAATGATTTGTATGGAGACCCCTCCACTTTGGTATAGAAGGCTCATTTTTGCACCAGTTGTTCTTTGGGTGCTCCTGAGTGGATTTCCGTCGGTAGACATCGGGAGCCCCCCCTAGGGTAGCCTGGGGAGGGGGGGGAAGTTTCCTTCTGCCGCGCTTCACTTTAAGGCTCATATCTTCAAAACTATAGGTATTAGGGCAAGTGTGGTATCATTTTCAGATAATTCAAGGATGGCGAATTCATTTCTAGAACAAACTTTTTGCCTTTCCATACAAAAAAATTGAAATATTGAGCAATATTCACAAAAAGTGAAAAGTATTTTTTTAAATAATCGTCGATTACTTTTAAACTAGCAGATATAATCTTAAATAAAAAATATGTACTGAAAGCTACATTTATCAGGATTATAAATATATAACATTGTATAGTACTTTTTTGACAAAAAGTGGGTGAAAAAAATTCCCGAAAGGGCGCGGTACTTTTGCAAAATGGCGCCAACCTCGTGCTAGGATGCGAAATTTTGTGAATTCTTGTCATCACGATAAATATTAAAAATAGATGATATTATTACCTATACATTTTATAATTCACGCATGTATTTTATAATACCCCC